AACCCGAGTCTTTGCACCTTAACTGAGCAGATTTGAAGCCTCATGTGCCTCCCTCCAAGGAGGAGTCAGGAATTTTGTGGTTCTTGGCCTCTGATGGGGAGTGGTATAAGTCACACAGGCTTGGGCTATGGGTCTGACGGACATTCTCTGACCCCTGGTTTGGGTGCCAGATTCTCTGCACGTGGAAAACAAGGGATATTTAATAAATAATGGTTTTAAATGTGATTCAGTCTGGCCTTTTCTTTCCATGTGCTACATGCAAAGGTAAGGAATACTGCCCCTTAGTTGTCAGCTAAGGTAACCCCAGGTATTTCACCATTATCAATGAATGCTATGGCTTGTGGATGGCCACATGGAACTTGGTGATAACCTCATGTGCATGCACCTCCTCTTTCAACTTCTGGTGGCATGTGGTGGTGATATTTACTACAGAGCCAAGGGCCAACCAGCTGAAATCTGCAAGGGAGCAATGGGCACAAAAGCACTGTCATCAGGATCTTTATCTTGACATCCTGGAATGGGTTCCAGTAATGTTCACCCATTGGCTCAATAACCCTTGTCTCTTCAAATACTCTCAGGTACTCAAGTATTAAAACCGAATTAAAGGAAGTGGTAGCCTTAGTATGTGTAGTCTGCCCCAGATACCTCCATTTTCATTTGAAAAGTAACAGTCACAGTACACCATTGCACCTACAGGACTAGTTTCTCTAGATCAGCAGTTCTCAACCTGTGAGTGGTGACCCACAGGAACTGTATTAAAGGGTTGCAGCATTAGGAAGGTTGAGAACCACTGCTCTAGATCAATGTGGGTGACACTGTTGTCAAGGAATGTTGGAAGTAAGCAAGGCCAAGGCACAGTGGCTCACTCCTGTAATCCTAGCACTCTGGGAGGCTAAAGTAGCAGGATCACTGGAGCTCCTGGAGCTCAAGAGTTGCTGAGGAAGAAGAGTAAGACCCCATCTCTTATTAGAAAAATTAGCTTATGTTGTGGCAGGCCCCTGTAGTAATCCCAACTACTTTGGAGGGTGAGGCAGAAGGGTCACTTGAACCCAGGAATTTGAGGTTGCTGTGAACTATGATGATGCCATGGTGCTCTATCCATAGTGACATAGACTGTCTCCTCCCCTCTCACCTCCACCCCCCAAAAAAGATACTGGTTTGACACCATAGCTCAGTGGTTAAGGCACTGGCCATATGTACTCCCATGCTGGTGGGTTCAAACCCAGTCCAGGCCTGCTAAACAGCAATGACAACAACAGCGAAAATAGCCAGGCGTTGTGGCTCCTGTCATCCCAGCTACTGTGTTTCCCTGAAAATAAGACACTGTCTTATATTTATTTTTTCTCAAGAAGACACACTAGGGCTTATTTTCAGGGGATGTCTTACACTCTGTGCGGAAATGCATGGCGTACCTGCATAACCACACCCATTAATAGGTCTTATTGGGGTAGGGCTTATATTTAACAAATGCATAGAAATCCTACTAGGGCTTATTATTTGGGTGGGTCGTATTTTTGGGGAAACATAGTACCTGGGATGCTGAAGCAAGAGAATCACTTAAGCCCAAGAGTTTGGGGGTTGCTGTCAGCTGTGATGCCACTTCACTCTACCTAGGGCATGAGATTGTCTCAAAAAAAAAAAAAAAGATACAAAGTGACTTGTACATTCAGTTTACTGCTGACTAGTTAATGGAAAAGTACACAGAGGTGCCAACTCCCCAGATCCTGTCCCAACTCCCCAGGATCCTGTCCTGGATGACACCATGACAAGATCCTGCAACCAGAAGTGTATATCATCTCCTTTTGCTGAGGAGCCAATGCTAGACTGCTGTGAGCAGATCTAGTTGCAGCTGTACCCCAAAGGGTGTGGTCAGGAAGCCTCACATTTCCTTAGAACCCAAGAGATAGCAGCTCCGGATAGCCCTCTGAGAGGCAGGGGAAGGGTACAGGTCTGGCCCCCTGGCAGCTCCTTATCAGTCTTCACTCAGTGCCAGGAAGCTTGGGTGAGCTGTGTTCTACATGGGTACATGAATTTCTAGTGTACCTTGGAGCCATTTCCTTATAAGTTGGCCCAACGGTATATCCTTAGATGAGGCAAAATAAATTTTCAATACAAATCTTAAGTTTTGGTACAGTATATATAATGAACTGGGAAAACTGAGAAGGATCAGTTTCCCGGGATTAGGGATTTGCTGTAAAAAGGTCAGCAACAGCACAGCAAGCCTGGGGTTTGAAGGAAGATAGGCAGGGCAGTTGGGGCCCTAGTTGGAGGAGGCATCCTGAACCGATGCGATAAAGATGCAGATGAGATAACAAGTGAAACTGCCACCAGGACCAGGACCATTGGCTCTGCCCGGTTGGTGGTGGCTCCTCACTACTGTCCTTCCACCTGCTCTGTGCCCCTGCTCGTCAGACCCTGTAAGGAGCTTGCTTGGAAGGCTGTGAACAAGAGCTGCCACTTGCCCTGCCTGGCTGAAAACCATGCTGAAATTGGTCTTTCTCTGGGGTCTGAGGATAAGCCACTAAATTTAGTGCTGGAAGAGCCCTGGCCAGATACAAAAGGGAACTTCCTTTGGTGTGATGTCATCTTTGAACCTTGGTTTCTCCCTCTCTCTCTCTCTCTCAATATCAATATATAGATATTGTTGTTATTGTTGTTGAGGCAGAATCTCACTATGTTGCCCTTGGTAGAGTGCTATGGCGTCACAGCTCACAGCAACCTCAAAATCTTGAGCTTAAGCAATTCTCTTGCTTCCCAAGTAGCTGGGACTATAGGTGCCAGTCACAATGCCCAGCTATTTTTTGTTGCAGTTGTTGTTTAGCTAGCCTGGACCAGGTTCGAACCTGCCACCCTCGGTGTATGTGGCTGGCGCCATAACCACTGTGCTATGGGTGCCAAGCTTCAAAAGATATAAAGTGAGAATACAAACATGGGAGGAGGCCTAGTCATGATTATGGTTATGCCCAGGGCCACAAAGCAACCAGCCTATGAAGTGAGGCCCAGTAAACTCTGTCCATGGGCCAAATTTCTGAGCTATGAATGGTCTTGACATTTTTAAGTGGTTAAGTGGGAAAAGCCCAAAAGAATACACATACTATTTTGTGACAGATGAAAATTTCATAAAGTTAAGATTTCAGTGCCCCTATTGGGACAGCCACACTGGTTTCATTGGTTCCTTTAAATTATAACAGAAACCCCACTAGTCTGCTCAACTTCTCTGAGGTTGGGGAAGTGAAACTATGAAAAGGGAGATGAGCCTACAAGAATCTGGGTGAATTTAGGTTTGGGAAATCCTTCAAAAGCCCCAGCCCAGGAACCTGGGGGTAGGGACAGTGTCTCACTTGTCAGAGCTTAGAAAGATTACACTTGACCTGGCCCAGTGAGGGTGGAGCTAGAGCCCCATTTCTAGGATTGAATTTGACAAAGGGCCCCTTATCACTAGATGGTACATGACTAGGTTTTACCCATGTACTGGGTAAGCATTTTGAATTTTATCAGGACTGCATTAATTTTCAGAGAAAAAAATAACCTTAACTTCATTTCAAACACTGTTCAATGTTTAAAAAAGAGGTGTTTGCAAGATGACAATAGTTAAACTAGTGTTTGTGAGTACATCAGATCTCAAAGGTAGGAGGTGAGTGACTCAAGTTTGGAAAAACTAGAATCTGCCCTCTAATTGCCTGTGTGAGGGAGAGTTGAAAGAGAACTGCCCCTAGTCAGCTTGAAGGATAAGAGACTGACCTTTCCCAGTCTCCCTAGAGAATGAGAGAGGACTGTACTAGTCTGCCCTGGGATGAGAAAGCTCCTTCCTCAGTCTGCTTTGGAGGACAAGAGAGCTGCCGCCATCTGCTCAGAGAATGAGAAAATTGCCCATTTCCCCAGTGGGCTGGCTATATCATGCCAGGGGTGCTGTGTTTGGAGAGAAACCCAAGCCACTGCCTAAAAGTGCTACCTAATCTACAAAGTGTGACAGCAGGCACCAGGCACATGCTGAGGATGGAGATGAGGCCTGTGCCTGGCTCTCACTACTATCCACAAGGGATTGCTGGATGAAAAGTACAAGGCAGAAGACCTTAGGGGCACAGGCATCCCCCATAGGCTGGCCTCACCCAGAAGACATTCTAGGGGCCTCCGTCCCTCTAGGTGTCTGGAGTTGGGTATTGCAGTATAAGCCCTGAGCCCTGGCCCTTGGTAGGACCAGACAAGAAGCTTTCCTCATTTACACCCCAGTGAGGTCTACACACATTTCAAAGAAGTGATTCCCTGCTCCAGAGACCCGGGCATTAGGATCTTTTTTTTATTTTTATATTAAGGTACAATGTACATGCATGGTACAATTCATTTCATGTCTAGTTCTGAGTTGACAGACACATACAGCAAGAGTAACCAAGACTATGTCAAGAAATCTCTTTTTGTTGTTTTTTTTTTTTTTTTGATAGAAAGTCTTATTTCATTGCCCTCGGTATAATGCCATGGCATCATAGCTCACAGTAACCTCAAACTCTTGGGCTCAACCAATTCTCTTGCTTCACCCTCCGAGGTAGCTAGGATTACGGGCACCCGCCACAATGCCTGGCTACCTTTAGAGACCGGGGCTCACTCTTGCTCAGGTTGGTCTCGAACCTGTGAGCTCAGGCAATCCACATGCCTCTGCCTCTCAGAGTGCTGGGATTACAGGCGTGAGCCACTGTGCCCAGCTAAGAACAAGAAATCTCTCTCTTTAAAAGTCCCACAGGTGACTCTAACATGCTGCCAAAGTTAGAAACCAACCCAAAGAGTCTTGTCTATCACCTAGGAGTGGGCAGGAGCTTCCAAAGGAGACCATCAAGGAACCCTCCAGAGCCAGAGGACCCAGCGTCTGGCGCCTTGGCCCTGGCCTGCAAGCAGCTCAAAGTGTTAGGGCAGCCTGCGGGGCACAGGGACAGGAAGCAGGGCTCAGAGCACCTCGTGGGGGAGGGAGCGGCAAGAGGGGAAGAAAACCCCTCCCAGGGCCAGAACCCACTTCCTACTTTACTACAACACTGGAGGAGACTGGCAGAGGCTGGGTCTCCCTCTACCTCCCTTCCCTGACCTGCCGGCAGCACAGGGAGGTGAGGTAACTTGGCCTGAGTGGTTCCAGCTGGCGGGATGGAGGACAGTGAAGGTCCTGAGTATGGCAAACCCGACTTTGTGCTTTTGGACCAAATGACCATGGAAGACTTCATGAGGAACCTGCAGCTCAGGTAGGCCCAGGGCAGGAGGCACTGGACTCCCCTCCTCCAAGGTCCCCTACCCAGACACAACTGGATAAAAATGAGCACCTCCAAGCACTGTCTCAGGGAGTCCGGAGTAGACCAGGGAGCCCCATCCCTGACAGGTCTGCCTAGTCAGTACTGGAGCTGTCACCCCTGCCTCTCACATGGTCCAAGTCACTTTTGCCCCTTCCTTCCTGCCCAACAGGGCCAAGTGTGACCCCACTTGGACAGATAGGCACTGGGCACTGGGACCAGAGCTGGGCCCTCCTTCCAGCACCTTCTTGCTAGAGTTGCTTCTGCTCCCTCATGGGGTCTGGCTTGAGCCCAGGACTCTGAGGTGAAGCAGGCAGGCCCCACCCTCGGGTCCAAAGCATCCTACAGGGTTGATGCAATGCTCAGAGGGGATGCATGAGTTTCACAGGACACAGCTGGCAGAAGTGACATCAGAGCCTAATTTGCTATCAGGAAGGGTGGAGAGAAGGCAGGAGGTAGGGAACCTGGCATGTCAGGGTGGCTGTGTGGACAGCTAGGCTTCATGCTCTAACTCCCAGGGAGTTCAGGAAGCTCCCCAGGGAGACCTTGGGGACCAGGAGCCCCCCTAAGCACAGAGAGCAAGAGGCTATGAGCCTGACCCACAGAGAGGAGGGCTAGAAGGGAAAAAAGAACTTAGGAAGGCCTAGCTCGATGACTCACGCTTGTAATTCTAGCACTTTGAGAGGCTGAGCTGGGTGGATAGCTTGAGCTCTGGAGTTCGAGACCAGCCAGAGCAAGGGTGAGAGCCCTGCCCCTACCAAAACTAGAAAATATTAGTTGGGTGTGGTGGCATGTGCCTGTTGTCCCAGCCATTCAGGAAGCTGAGGCAGGAGGATCGCTTGAGCCCAGGAATCTGAGGATGCAATGAGTGACGATGATGCCACTGCACTCCTGGGCAACAGAGTGATACCCTGTCTCAAAAAACAAGCAGTAACAATAACAACAAGAATCTTATGAGATAGTCACTATCATCTCCATTTTGATGATGAAGATGATGAGAGCTCTGAGCTCTAAGAAGTGGGGGACTTGCCCCAAATCACACAGCTTTGTAAGAAGGTGAGTCTAAGCTCAGAACACCCATGTCAGAGGTAATGAAGGAAAAAGAACTACAGGATGGTACCACTGGGGGACATGATGGGTCCCACACACCAAGGAGAGGTAGAGTCAGAGGATTAGGCCAGCCAGCCCTCTCAGAGGCAAAAAGGTCAAGAAAGGGGTGGACACAGGCCCACTGGTGACCAGGTTTTTGAAGGGAAGGGTCACCCCTCCATCGGCCAGGTTTTTAAAAAAGTCTAAGGATGTGCCAGGAGGGCTGGCAACCACATTCACAATGACAGTGACAGCTGGTGTTGGCTCTGTTGCCCCACCCTCTCCCTGTCATCTGGGTGGAGCTGGGCGGGGTCCCCTTCTGCCGGTTCCACCCAGGCCTTGAAACAGGAAACAGCACAAGGTCCCTCCCTCCACTCCCAGCCCAGCCCTTTCCCTCAACCCTGGCTCCATACCTGCCCTGTGGGGCCCAACCCAGGAGCCAGCCCTACCTCTGCCTCACAGTGTGGTCTTAGGCAAGTCTGTCCCCTTCACAAAATAGGTGGTCATGATTTTTGTGACCTCAGGACCCCCATGGAGAGCAGCATGGACCCCAAACTCTACATTGCAGTGGGGACAGGCTCTGAGGGTCTCAGCTCATCCAGAATGACACCAGGGCGACTGGAGAAGACAACTGCCCCCTTCTCCCTTCTCTACTCTCAGCCCCTCCAGTGGAAGCATTGGCTGACTGGGGCCAGGGCTCAATGTTGTCTGTGCCCAGAGGCCCATGTGACCCTTGCTGCCTATGAATGCTAAGGTCTGGCCTTGCTGTGTTCAGGTTCAAGAAGGGCCGCATTTATACCTACATCGGTGAGGTGCTAGTATCCGTGAACCCCTACCAGGAGCTGCCCCTATACGGGCCCGAGGCCATTGCCAAGTACCAGGGCCGTGAGCTCTACGAGCGGCCTCCCCATCTCTATGCCGTGGCCAATGCTGCCTACAAGGCGATGAAGCGCCGGTCCAGGGACACCTGCATTGTCATTTCAGGTACCTGCCCCTGCAGCCAGGTACCCTAGCCTCGGCATCCTCATTCATAAACATGAGCGGGGGGATTAGAGTATCTCCTGTGTCCTGTGTGGTTCCAGGACCCTATCACACCAGTCCCATGGGTACAGGCTGGCACAGGGAGCTGGTCTAAGGAGCATGGCCTGTTTGTTTCTGTTGACTACTATCTTTCTGGCAGGGGAGAGTGGGGCTGGGAAGACGGAAGCCAGTAAGCACATCATGCAGTACATCGCTGCAGTCACCAACCCGAGCCAGAGGGCAGAGGTGGAGAGGTAAGCCGCAAGGTATAGCTGTGGCCTCAGCACAGCTAGGATTGCAGTGTGGCAGGAAGGGCCTGGCACTGGGAAGCCAAGAGATGGAACTGGAGCCTAGCTAAGGCCGAGTTCAGTGGGCTTATCCATCAGGAAGTTTCCAGGTAACTCCAACACTCACTGAGATAAGACAAGTTGACCTAAACTAAGTACCTCTCAAGTAAGGTGGGTGAGACCCAGTCAAGGGACACAGGCTGCCAGCTGGGAGGAGACAGCAGCGAAGGTAGGATATGGAGCAGTGCAGTAGAGGGACACCTGAAGTACCACACTGACAGGGCAGTGGCACCCCTCAGGGTATTCCATGGAAGCCTGGAGAAGCTGGCAGGCTCCGGTCAGGATGGCCGAGTATACCAGGTGGGTGTGTAGTGACAACAGGAAGCCAGGGCTGGCCTATTCACTGGCTACTCTCCCCTGGGGGCCTTGCAGAAGCTGCTTCCTGTGTCAGAGCCCATTTCTTCCTGTTGAAATGTGACAAGGTGGGGTTCAGAGGGGACAAACAATGTCAGTTCCCAAGTACACATGGTTGGCACCACTGCCCACCCCTGCTTTAGAGGTCCAAGGCCAAGTGGTCAGATCAGCTCCCCAGGCTGCAGCTGAGGCCTGGGCAAAGATGAGGTGACCATGATAAACAAAGACCTGGACTCAGTGCTGTCCAGACCCTGTTGTGCATAAGCCAGCTTGCCAAGTGCATTTCCCAGCGTGTCAGAGGCATGACCATCACACAGCCCCAGATGCAGCATTGGATGAGGCTGGGTCTTTGGCTCCCTCTTAGCCAGCTCTTTTATTCATCTTGAGATGTTGTGATTTCTGTGAGAAAGACTCAGGCAGGGACCCTATTGTCCAGATGGGAGGTCTTTGCCCGAACCCTGGCCCCTCCGCTTCACAGGGTCAAAGATGTACTGCTCAAGTCCACCTGTGTGCTGGAGGCCTTTGGCAATGCCCGCACCAACCGCAACCACAATTCCAGCCGCTTTGGAAAGTACATGGACATCAACTTTGACTTCAAGGGGGACCCAATTGGGGGACATATCCACAGCTACCTGCTGGAGAAGGTGGGTAGGTGGGCTGAGAAGACCCCATGGGGAACCCTGGCTGAGATCAATCCCAGTTCCAGGGACCCTGATGCTGCAGGTTAGGAAGGCTGGGCTCTCCCCGTGGCCCTTTGAAGTGGGCCTCTGCCCCTGTGGCCAGAGCCCTCTGACCCCCAGCCTGTCCTACATCTGGGAAAGCACATATAAGGTCCTGAGGGGCAGACTTCTTCCCAGGCCTGAGTCCAGCTGCTTATCTCTCCTCAGTCACGGGTCCTCAAGCAGCACGTGGGTGAAAGAAACTTCCACGCCTTCTACCAGGTGAGGCACTGAAGGCAGGAAGAGGGAGGAAAATATAGTGTGGGGGGAGGAAGGGCAGTAGGCTGGGCTAACTTGTGACTTTCCCTCGTACCCCAGTTCCCCACTCTGCCCCACTCCCTCTCACTAGCCTATTCCCTGCCACACACCCCATCACCTCACAACCCACAAACAAGAAGAGGTGAGTTCCCTGAGAGCAAAAGGATGCTTCTCCATATGAGATGCTTGCAGATGAGAGCTCTCTGGGACCTACATAGTGACTCCTAGCTCTAAGCTTCCCACCAAAGTGGGAGTTTCTTGGCACCCAGGCTCTGTGTCAAGTTCAACACTGAAGCACAGCTTCCTGGGACAAGAGTGGTGTCTACAGAATATAAACTCCCACCGAAGTGGAGTTCCCTGGACACTGACAGTGTCTCCATTGACCTGACCACTCCTTTGGGATAAGAGCTTCCTTGGAATGGACAATGATTTTTGTGAACTCTGAGCTCCCCACGGAGGTGGGAGCTCCCTGGAAACAAACTGTATCACTGCAGTCTCAGAGCTTGACACTGACCTACAGTTCCCTGGAATACCAGCAGACTATGGGCTACCAATAGAAGTGGAAACTCCCTGGGAAACAACGATATCTCTGGGGATTCAGGGCTCCCCACAGAGTTAGGAGGTCCCTGCAACATGGACAATGTCTCCACCAACTCTCAGCTCTACAATGGTACAGGAGCTCTCTGGGACACAGGCAGAGCCTCTGAAGACTCAGATCTCCCCCTGAAATGGAGCTCCCTGGAATACAAATACTGCCTCCATAAAATCTGGGCTCCCTTCCGAGGTAAGAGCTTCTTGAGACATGGGCAGTGTCTTGTGGACTGAATTCTCCATGAGATGGGAGCTCACTGTGACAGACTCACAGCTCCCATGAAGTGGTGCTAACTAGGACATAGACAGTGCCTATTGTCTCTGTGCTCCCCATGAAGGAGCTGCTGTATGGGAGGAGGGCACTGCCACCAAGACTGTGAACTTCCTTACAAGGTGGGAGCTCCCTGGAGCACAGTAGTGTCCTTAGGGACTCTTAGTTCCCTACTGAGGTGGGAGCTCACTGGGACACATGCAGTGTCTCCACAGACTTTGAGCTCCACACAAGTACACGTCTCTGGAACTTGGGTGATGTGTTCCAGTACTCTGAGCTCCCCACAAGATGGGACCTCACTGAGTTGTGGGCAGAATCTCCAATGAAATATGAATTCCTCACTGAAGTGGGAGCTCCCTGGGACACAAGAAGTTTTTGACAGAATTTGAGATTCTGGGATACTCTGGAATACTCATAGTGTTTCTATGGACTCTGAGTTCCCTGCTGTGGTAAAAGCTCCCCAGCACTCCAGCATTGTCTCTAGTGACCCTGGACTATCCACTGACGTGGAAGATCACTGGGACATGGGCAGTGCCTTTATGGACTCTGAACTGTCCTTGAGGTAAGAGCTCCCTGAGACACGAGCAGTGTCTCCATAGACTCTGGACCCCCAGAAGATGGAAGCTCCCTGGGAATCAGGCAGGATCTCCACAAACTGAACTCCCCACTGAGATGGGAGATTCCTGGGACACAGAATGTTTTCACAGACTCTGAGCCTCCATGAAATGGGGCCCTATGAAATATGGACAGTGTCTTTAAGGACTCTGAGCTCCCTACTGAGGTAGGAACCTCCCTGGGACATGGATGGTGTTCCACTGACTCTGAGTCCCTCTCGGAGGTAAGTGCTTCCTGAGACTCAGCCAGCATCTCCATGTACTCTGAGTTCCACACTGAGGTGAAAGCTGTATGAGACACAGGCAACGCCTCTATGAACTGAGTTCCCCACTGGTAGGAGCTCCTTGGAACACAGCCGCTGGGCTCCCACTGAAGTGGAGCCCCCTGGGACTCCCATGGGATCTCCACAGACTATTACCACCTCACTGATGTGGGAGCTTATAGGACATGGACAGTGTCTCCATGGACTCTGAGCTCTCCATGAGATGGGAGTTCCCTGGAATGTGAGCAAGGTCTCCATGAAATGTGAGCTCCCCACTGAAGTGGGAATTCTCTGGGACACGAGTTTTTTCACAGACTCTGAGCTTCCATGAAATGGAGCTCCTTAGCACAGACAATGTCTTTAAGGACTTTGAGCTCCCCACTGTGATGAGGGCTTCTCAAACCTATCAATATTTCTATGGACTCTGACCTCTGGGTGAGGTGGGAGCATTTTTGACAAGGGCAGTGTTTCCACAGACTCTGAGCTTCCCCCTGAAGTAGGAAGTCCCTGAGATTCAGGCAGTGTCTCTACAGACTCTGAGCCACTAGGACATAGGCAGTGTCCCCATGGAATCCCAGCTTTCACTAGTGGTAGCTCCTTAGGACCCTGGAAGTTTCTCCACAGACTCTGAGCTCCCAGTGAAGTGCATGCAGGATTTCCACGACTCTGAAGTTGGAGATTTTGGGTCACGGGCAGTGACTCCCTGAGCTCCCCATTGGGGTGGGAGCTCATGGGACAAGGGCTGTGTCTCCACAGATTCTTAGCTTCTCAGGAGTTATCTCCTTGTGTCTAAGGCAATGTCTACATGGAATCTGAGCTCCCTGCTCAGGTGGGAGGCTATGAGACACAGGCAGTATCTCTGCAGGCTCTGAGTTCCCATTTCATGGGAACTCACCTGGTTGTAGGCAGGGTCTCCATGAGCTATGAACTCCCCACTGAGGTGTGCACTCCCTGAGACACAGGGAGTTTTTTTTTTCTTTTTTTTTTGAGACAGGAGCCTCAAGCTGTCCCCCTTGGTAGAGTGCTGTGGCATCTCAGCTCACAGCAACCTCCAACTCCTGGGCTCAAGCGAGTCTCCTGCCTCAGCCTCCCAAGTAGCTGGGACCACAGGCGCCCGCCACAATGCCCAGCCATTTTTTGGTTGCAGCCATCATTGTTGTTTGGTGGGCCCCGGCTGGATTCGAACCCACCACCTTGGGTGTACATGGCTGGCACCTTAGCCACTTGAGCCACAGGTGCCGAGCCAACACAGGGAGTTTTTTAACAGACTTTGAGTTCTCCTGGAATGGAGCACTCTGGGAATCCACAGTATTCTATGGACTCTGAGCTCCACACATAGGTGAGAGCTACCTGGGACTCTGGCATTGTCTCCAGTAACCCTGCGCTCCCCACAGAGGTGGGATCTCATTGGGACATGGGCAGTACCTTCATGGACTCTGAGCTTTTCTTGAGGCATGAGCAGCATCTCCATAGACTCTGAGCTCTCCATGACATGGTAGCCCCCTGGGATTCAGGCAGGGTCTCCACAAACTGTGAAGTCCCCACTGAGGTGGGAGACTCCTGGAACATGGGCAATGTTCCACGGACTCTGAGCTCCCCATTTAGGTGGGAATTCTCTGGGACACATCGAGTTCTTTCACATACTCTGAACTTCCATGTAATGGAGCGACCTGATACAGACAATGTCTTTAAAGATGCCAAACTCCCCACTGAGGTGGGAGCTTCCTGGAACAGAGGCAGTATCTTCATAGATGGGAACTCCCTTGACAAAAAGCAGTGTCTTCATGGACTCTAGGCTGCCTACTCAGGTGGGAGCACTCGTGGAGACAGGCAAGGTCTCTACCAACTCTGAGCTTCCCTTGGAGGTAAGAGCTTCCTTGGACAAAGGCCATGTCTCCACAGACTCCACTAAAGCAGAGGTACATGAAATACGGGTGTTATCTTTTCAAACTCTGATCTCTCCACTGAGGTGGGAGCTCCCTGAGACACAAACAATGTAATCAAGAACTCTCAACTCCCTCTAAGGTGAGAGCTACCTGGGACGCAAGGACTGTCTCCAGAGACTCTGAAATTCCATGAAGTTGAGTTTGTGGAGACTTATTGGCCCATAAGTAGTGTCTACACAAGCTCTGAGTTCCCACTGAAGGGGAGCTGCCTCAGACTCCTGCAGGATCTCCACAGACTGTCTTCCCTGCTGGCATGGGACATTTTAGGTTTCGCACAGAGTCTCCATGGAGTCTGAGCTCCGCAGGAGTTGAGACTTCCCTTTGCCTAGAGCAATGTCTGCAGGGAATCTGAGCACTCCAGTCAGGTGGGAGGTCTCTGGGACAAAGCTAGTGTCTCCACAGACTCTGAGCTCCCTCCTGAGGTAAGGGCTTCCTGAGATGGGGCAGTTATGTCTTCTGACTCTTATGCCCACAGTAAGGTGAGTGCTCACTGGGGCAGGGACAGGGTCTCTATGGACTTTAAGTGACATGGAGCTCCACTGTGGAAGATGGCAGTTCCTCCAGGAACTCTGTGCTCTCACTGCAGTGGAGATCCATAAGACTGATGGGATCTCTATAGACTCTTACCTTCCCTTCCCAGATAGGGGAAGTCTGGGGACACAGGCATTGTCTCCACGGACTCTGAGCTCCACATGATGTGGGGTCTCCTTGGGTCTGGAGCAACATTTCCACAGAATCTGAGCTCCCCACTGAGATGAGGTCTGGGGACAGGGGTAATGTCTTCCTGGCAGATTCTTTGCACCCACTGACACAGTGGTGTCTGATCACTGACCTGGGAGCTCACTGGCTCACAAAGTGTTCAAGCAACGTCTGGCCGGCCCCTGGTTTGTTGGGTTGAGGCTGGGAGGAAGCTTGTGTCTGTTTGTTCTTCTGCCTCTGGAGAGATTGGGAGGGGGGACTCCTGGGAGCTTATTTGTCTAACCAAGGGATCTCTGTCCTCTAGTTGCTAAGGGGCAGTGATGACAAGGAGCTGCATGAAATGCATTTGGAAAGAAACCCTGCCTTGTACAATTTCACACGCCAAGGAGCTGGACTCAGCATGGGTGTACACAGTGTGAGTATGAGAAGCACAGATGGCTCAAACTGGGCTTAGTTTCAGGGTCCTGAGTGTGGTGGCAGGGAGTGGGCAGCAGTCAGCACAGGCCAGGCTGATGCGAGCTGTGCAGGTGAGTGGGGAGGGTGCTCAGGCTGAGGGAAAGTGGCTCAGGGAGGGGACAGTGCCTAGGGATGAGCAAGTGTCTGGGGCGGTCAAGGTTAATGGAAGGCAGGTGTTCTGGGCCCAGTGTGGCTTGGGATACTGAACTCCTTCTCCCCCAGGCCTTGGACAGTGACGAGAGGAGCCACCAGGCAGTAACTGAGGCCATGAGGGTCATTGGCTTCAGTTCTGAAGAAGTAGGGTCTGTGTATCGCATCTTGGCTGCCATATTGCACCTGGTGAGGCTGGCTCGGAGGCCCCAGGAGGGGAAACCCCACAGGGATTTCCTGGCTGGGAGCCCCTGGCAGGGAGGAGCAGACTGGTTCCAGATATCGCAGTGGATATGGCTGAGCTGACTCCCTCCCCCAAGGAAGCTGAGTTGCTCGAGCATGTGTGTGTCAGTATCTAGTGAAGAGTGTTGTTAGGGCCAGGGCTGCTGGACACAGTAAAAGCCACAAATTGTGCAGACTGCTTCCAAGTGCAGTGAGGCTGACATTGTGGCATGTCACCCAGAGCCTCTTGGCTGCAGTTCTCTAAGTGGCACAAGGAGTAAGCAGCACAGAGCTTCTGTGGCTACTGGGAGGATGCAATGGGGTCCTTTACACATTGGATACAAGACCTTAGTAAAAGCTCTGGTGTGCCCCTGCCCTCCTCTTTTCTGGCTGTATCTGTGCCTATGATGGTCAGCCAGGAGCTGGGCCCCACCACATCCATGTCCCCTGTCTCCCTTCCTCCTCCCTGTCCAAAGGCATCTATGCTCCTTTTGGCCATGGAGCTTGGACTGTTCATGGTTCCCCCTCATCACCAGGGAAACATTGAGTTTGTTGAGACAGAGGAAGGTGGGATGCAGAAGGGTGGCCTGGTGGTGGCTCAGGAGGCGCTGGTGGACCATGTGGCTGAGCTGACAGCCACACCTCGGGACCTTGTGCTCCGCACCCTGCTGGCTCGCACTGTGGCCTCTGGAGGCAGGGAGGTCATAGAGAAGGGCCACACTGCAGCTGAGGCCAGCTATGCCCGGGACGCCTGTGCTAAGGTACTCCTGGGCAGGCAGAGGGAGGCAAACCCAGGAGGTCTTGGCAGGGGGCAGGCCCAAGGCAGCAAGAAACAACATGCTCCTGTCCCCAGGCTGTGTACCAGCGGCTGTTTGAGTGGGTAGTGGATAAGATCAACAGCATCATGGAAGCCCGAGACCGGGACCCTCGGCGTGATGGCAAGGACACAGTCATTGGCGTGCTGGATATCTACGGTTTTGAGGTGTTCCCTGTTAACAGGTGGGACCCCATCTCTGACCTTCAGCTCCTGTGGCCACTTAGTCCCAGGGACTAAGGTTGGGAAGCAGGAGAGACTGACTTTGTCCTGGCTGGTCCCTGGGCCCAAGATTAATACCCCTAAGCCTGCCTCAGCTACACCCTCAGCCCTTAGTGTCCTGATGGAAGGCAAAATTATAGGGTTTGCTTCTCTGGGCTGTGACCCAAGTCCACCACACTGTCCATGCTGGAGGTGGATGCAGGGTACATAATCCACAGGGAAGCCATGCAACAGCCTGGCGCCAAACTCCTCAGTGAGCACCAGGGGAGATTTAGGGGGAGGCCCGTCCATTAACACGTGCTCCACAAGGAGCAACAGCCTCTCTGAAAGGCTACCCCCACCAGCTTTGAGCAGTTCTGCATCAACTACTGCAACGAAAAGCTGCAACAGCTCTTCATCCAGCTCATTCTGAAGCAGGAGCAGGAAGAGTACGAGCGCGAGGGCATCACCTGGCAGAGTGTGAGCACCGTGCTGGTGGGAGGACTCAGCAAGCGGGGCACACAGGGGTGTCGGGAGCCCCTGGGAGGAGAGGCCCCTGGGCTGGCTGGCAGGTGCTGAATGAGGGGTGCCGGAGGGGGTGTGGCTGGGAAGTCCTCAGCAGCTACCTTGCTGGCTGCCTCCACTCCAGGTTGAATACTTCAATAATGCCACCATCGTGGATCTTGTGGAGCGGCCCCACCGGGGCATCCTGGCTGTGCTGGACGAGGCCTGTAGTGCTGCGGGCACCATTACTGACCGCATCTTCCTGCAGTCCCTGGATGCATACCACCGCCACCACCCACACTACACCAGCCGCCAGGTGCCCGCATCTGTCCCAGTACTGGCACGGTGGGCTGGTGGGATCTGTTCCACAGGCAGCAAGCTGCTTGTGCCTGGTGGGGCTTGGGCGGGGACCCAGCTTTATTGTCATTGCCTCACTGTGGTGGTCTCCTCTGCCCCAGTGGGATGGAGGCAGACCTGCCACATACACCTCTGTGACTTGGCCTTGGCCTGTCCCTGCAGCTCTGCCCCACAGACAAGACCATGGAATTTGGCCGAGACTTCCGGATCAAGCACTATGCAGGGGACGTCACGTAAGGGCACCCCTCCTCCCCATGTCCTGGGCCTTCCCACAGGCCTTACTGCATGTGTCACAGGACAGAAGTGCTCAAGGGGAATGGCTGGGAGATGGACATCATTAGCCCTTCTGCCACCTCCATCCCTTTAAGACACTGACAATCCACCCATCACCAGATTCACAACTAAAGAGCAGCAAACAGGGTGTGAGGATAGTGATTCTCAGCCCTGGCTGCATTCTTCTGCAGACTTTTAACAAACACCCACATTTCATGTCTGGGCCTTTGCATGCAGGCATCTGCTGGGAGAGCTAGAGGTTGGCATGTTGGGGGTTGAAGAGGCAGAGGGGGCCAAGATTCTGCATCTCTAACAAGCTCCCAGGTGACACCTCGCTGTGTCCTACAGCCAAGCTCTGGGCACAAAGGTCAGAGATCGTCATGATGATTATTAATTTACTTGAGGTGACTCACAGAGAGGTACAAGTGTCTAATATGAACTTCTCAAGGAGAGGTAAATAGAGTAGACAATGAAGACACAGCATCCAGATGTCAAAACTGTTCCCCAGGCTCGGCGCCTGTGGCTCAAGCGGCTAGGGCGCCAGCCACGTACACCTAGGGTGGCGGGTTCGAATCCCCAGCCCGGGCCCGCCGAACAACAATGATGGCTGCAACCAAAAAATAGCCGGGCGTTGTGGCGGGCGCCTGTGGTCCCAGCTACTTGGGAGGCTGAGGCAGGAGACTCGCTTGGGCCCAGGAGTTGGAGGTTGCTGTGAGCGTGATGCCACGGCACACTACCCAGGGGGATAGCTTGAGGCTCCGTCTCAAAAAAAAAAAAAAAAAAAAAAAAAAAAAAAAAAAAACTGTTCCCCAAAATCAGAACCTTCGCAGGTGCTGCAGGTGGAGAGCCTCAGATTAAAATAGACACGAGTCTCAGGATTTCCTGGTCATAATTGTAGTCCCTGATATTCATCAAAACTCAGTAGGCACTGTTCCAAGCAATTAATTGATGTACAGAGAGGTGGAATGGCACACTCAAGGTCACATAGCAAGTGTGCAAGTGGTGGACCTGGGACTCAGTGCTAGGACATTTGGCTTCAGAAATGGGGACTTAACTACTCAATTCATCTTTCAGGAGAGAAATTTCTCCTGAGGGAGGGAGTCTTAGGTGATGAAAGAGAAAGGAGATATAAGGGGGAAGGAGAGGCACCAGGCCGGGTGGCAGGGAGAGAGAGACCGACCTGGAACAGAGCAGGGGAGGAGGTTGGGGACCTCCTGGGAGTTGTCAGTGCTCTAATAGGCTCAGCCCCTGCCCTAACGCCCCGCCCTTCCTGGCCCTGGCAGGTACTCCGTGGAGGGCTTCATTGACAAGAACAGAGACTTCCTCTTCCAGGACTTCAAGAGGTTGCTGTACAACAGGTGAGCGTAGCCAGATGAGCAGGTAGATGCAGAGGCTAGTACCCTGACCTGGCAGGTGGACAGCCTGAGGCTCAAAGCTAAGGTGGGGGTGGGTGAGGCTGCTCTCCCTGGAGGGTGGCTAGGCATGACACTTGTGTCAGCAGCATGGACCCCACCCTGCGGGCAATGTGGCCGGAGGGGCAGCAGGACATCACAGAGGTCACCAAGCGCCCCCTGACGGCTGGCACACTCTTCAAGAACTCCATGGTGGCTCTGGTGGAAAACCTCGCCTCCAAGGTACATCCCACCCCACCCCTACTCCTGCCCTTCTGGATTCTTCTGGCCCTGAGTACCAAGGTTCTCTGGGTCCTGAGTACCAAGTAATGCCCCTGACCACCTCTGCACATCATGAGGGCTAGTGGGGTGGTATCTCATCCTGTCTGTATGAGTTACATCTGCTCCAGCTTGGGGACCCTGATCACTGCACAAGTTAGATGTGAGGGCTCAGGAGCTGGGCTGAGGCAGGATCAATAATGGAGGACTTCACTGAATTCGAACCCAGCCTTGTTCTCACCTCATTGTCTCTCGGGCAGGAGAAGGGGGGAAGACCCTACTGGGAGCATGGTTTGGCCAAGCCAAGCTCCTGCCAAGAGCTGGGGACTTTTCTGGCAGCAAGTGTCAAAGGGACAAGAAACTGGCACTAGCTTTCTTGGGGAGCTTTGGGCCCAAAGACAACAGGGGACCTGAGTCAAAGGGACATGGCAGGACAATAGAATCCAGAAACATAAGCCCCTCTCAGAGGGAGAAAGCAAGGAGAGAGGTGAGGCCCACTCCTGGTCCCTGGGCTGGAGACTGGCTCTGGGCCCAGCCTCCTCACTGGCCCCTGCTCTAGCACTTCAGGCTTCCAGGGCCCTATTCTGCTATGATTTCTTTTGTGCCCGACTCTTGTCCTGGCCTAGGATCTTAAGAGTCAGGGAAGCTCCTGGCTTGGGGCAGTATCCACAGGGCTGAGGCCCCCTCCAAGTCCCCTCTGTGCCCACAGGAACCCTTCTACGTCCGCTGTATTAAACCCAATGAGGACAAGGTGGCAGGGAGGCTGGATGAGGACCACTGTCGCCATCAGGTTGCATATCTGGGCCTGTTGGAGAATGTGAGGGTTCGCAGGGCTGGCTTTGCTTCCCGCCAACCATATTCTCGGTTCCTGCTCAGGTACTGGCACCAACACTCATCACTCTGCGGGCTGGAGTCCCTGGGTGGAGCCCAGGGAGTAGGAACAGAGGGCCCCTAAATAGTGCTTTACAAAATGTCAACACGAGCAATGCCGGCATGCAACTGGGCTCAGAATGCTGCAGTGTCTGTGAGGATATGTAGGAGGACACTGTGTGGGGGAACACACATGAACACAGGTGTCACAGGTGTTCTAGGGACATACCAGGAGGATTTCAGCCTCAGGATGCTCAGCACCCCTCCATCTCCCAAGGGTGGGGTGGGCAGAGCAGGCTCTCACTCTCTCCCCTTGGCCTCATCCTCACTGCCCTATCTTGTGGTGACAGGTACAAGATGACCTGTGAGTACACATGGCCCAACCACCTGCTGGGCTCCGACAAGGCAGCTGTGAGTGCTCTCCTGGAGCAGCACGGGCTGCAGGGGGACGTGGCCTTTGGCCATAGCAAACTGTTCATCCGCTCACCCCGGACGTTGGTCACACTGGAGCAGAGCAGAGCCCGTCTCATCCCCATCATCGTGCTGCTTTTGCAGAAGGTGCAGGGGGTGGGGACACACCATGGAAAAGATGCATGTGCTCTGGGGACCACAAGTGCACTTACAAGTTCCACAGGAGTCTCTACTTGGGTGGAGACAGGCCAGGATTAAAACTGACTTATGCAAAAAGTACAGACACAGTTGAGGTACAATAGCTCTGTGGCTGCCAGCTTTAGGAGCAATAGGATCCAGTGCTCAAAACAAGGTTTTCAGGAATCTGGTCTCTGTCCCTCACTCCCTCTCCTCCCTTCTTTCTTCATTCCCTCTTTCCCTCCTTCTTTCCTTTGAACTACTTATTAGGAAAGAAAAGTCTATCTAGGGTGCTGTTGGTTGCCCAGCTTCCATTCTGTCACCTCATGGATGGCATGATTTTATGTAGAGGCCAACACCTTTATCCCAACAAGTCACTGCAGCCGTCATCATTTTAGTGTGTATTTCCAAAGGATAGGGATTCTTTCCTTTCTCCCCATAACTTTCATTTTGGAACAATTCAAGCCTATAGAAAAGTTAAAGAACTAGTACTGTGAATATCATAAGCTCTTCACCTGGATTGCTGCAAGGTGCTTCCTCCTTCCACCCCTCCCTTTATTTCTGTTTCTTTGGTGTTCTCTCTCCCCCCTCCCATCTTTCTCTCTCTCTCTGTCTCTCCCTCTCTGTCTCTCTCCATGCACACACATTTGTACATGTATCTATTTATATTTTCTCCTTAATTATATAAAGTCATGACACCCCTAAATACTTCAGCAGGTATATTCCAAGAACAAGGACATTCTCCTTTGTAACCATGGTGACATTAGCACATTCAAGAAACTTAACACTGATAAAATAATAACCTACATATCTGAATACCATATTTTGTCATTTATATTGCACACATTTTGCCCAAATTTCTGAGGGAGAAATAAGGATGTGAATTATACATGGATAGTACTAATTCTGTATCTATATAAATGTTTTAAATTCTTTTATTTATGCTTATGCATAAAAATGTAACTCTAGAAAGCAAATACCAATGTGCAAAAAATACCTTAGAATATGGCAATTGGTTTTGTTGAATTTACCACAAATTTGCAACAAAAGCATTTTTGGCCAATGAATATCAATGTATTTCTCTTTGTACTCTTCAGGCAGGGGCTAGCAATCTAGCTGATATTTTTACAAAATTCCTTTATAAAACAGAAAACAAGTACCTAGATATAAACAAATAAATATTTGAATTAAAAAATAAAAACAAAAGTTTTTTCCTGAAAAATGTGGGTGTGCATTATACATGGCAAAATATGGTATCTAATGTGTAGCCCATCCATATTCAAATGTCCTCAGCAGTCCCATTATTACCCATCACATCTTTTTTTTTTTTTTTTTTGGAGACAGAGCCTCAAGCTGTCACCCTGGGTAGAGTGCCATGGCATCACAGCTCACAGCAACCTCCAACTCCTGGGCTCAAGCGAGTCTCCTGCCTCAGCCTCCCAAGTAGCTGGGATCACAGGCACCCGCCACGCCGCCTGGCTATTTTTTGGTTGCAGCTGTCGTTGTTTGGCGGGCCCGGGCTGGATTTGAACCCGCCATCTTAGGTGTATTTGGCTGGCACCTTAGCCACTTGAGCTGAACCCCTATCACATCTTCTAAAAGTCTAAAATCTAATCAGTGATCACACTCTGCATTTGTTGTTACCTCTGTCATATCCTCTACGACACAGGGGTTGCATAGCACCACTGTCCTCGTTTGGAAACCTCAAACTATTTATGGTTTTCAGTTCCCAGTCTGTACTCAGATTTCCCCAGTTGGCTTCTGATGGTGCTATTGTACTCAGGGTCTGTTTAAATCTGTGGATCCTTGAACTGCTTTCTTTTTTTTTTTTTCCTTTGAGACAAAGTGTCAAGCTGTCGCCCTGGGTAGAGTGCCGTGGGATCATAGCTCACAGCAACCTCCAACTTGAGCTCAAGTGATCCCCTTGCCTCAGTTTTTTTCTATTTTTAGTAGATATGCGGGTCTCAATTTTGCTCAGGCTAGTCTCAAACTTGTGAGCTCAAGCAATCCACCTGCCTCAGGCTCCCAGAGTGCTAGGATTACAGGTGTGAGCCACCATGCCCAGCCAGCCCTGAACTGCTTTCCTTGCAGGGTTTCCAGTCTGGGTTTTGATGGTTCCATTCTTGGGATATCTCTCTGACTTGGGATATCCTGGGAGTTGGAGGTTAAGTCTATACCAGGTCAGATTCCAGGTGAACTCATTAGCAGTTGCCCTTATAAGCAGGAAGAAACCACCTGCATCTGTCCCCATCTCTCTTATCATGTGGGCTTTCTCTCTGTGGGGAATTGCAGGTCCCCATCAGTGCCAGTTTCCAGCTTTAAAAGCCTGGAACAGGCAAGCAACTCTTTTCTGAGAGTCTACAGATCCTTGAGTAGTATAGCTGGCCACATTCCCATCCAGGAATCAGCCAGCAGCCAGATGGACATGGGTCCTGGAGCCAGTCTCCTTGGAGACATGCAAGGGGGTGCTCCATGAAGGCTTAGGATCAGGGTTGGGTTACAAGACTGGGGTCTGGCTGGGTTTGACTGTGTATCCCATCACTCCCGGCCCAACCAGGCTTGGCGGGGCACCTTGGCAAGGTGGCACTGCAGGCGGCTAAGAGCTGTGTATACCATCATGCGTGGGTTCCGGAGGTACAAGGTGCGTGCTCACCTGGCTGAGCTGCAGCGGAGATTCCAGGCTGCACGGCAGCCCCCACTCTATGGCCGTGACCTTGTGTGGCCACCACCACCTACTGTGCTACAGCCTTTCCAGGACACCTGCCAAGCACTCTTCTGCAGGTATTGCCCTAGCCAGCCATGCTTTCCGGTGCATCCACTGCACACCTCACTGGTCATCTGGCCCCACAGTGCCCAGCTGGGAGATACAGAAGCCCCCTTGATAGGTGGGAAGACTGTGCCACATTAGCTGACTGTCTCAAAGTTGGTAGCACAGCCCTGACCATTCTGAGAACTATGTTGGGCATTTGAGGTCTAGAGCCACATCCTACAAGGATAAGTGTGGCTGTTCGGGGCTGGGGAGAGGAGGGACTCTGCATCTGAGCAGGGCCTTGAGGGCTGAGTAGAAGTTCTCCAAAAGAAAGGCAGAAAAGAAATGGTATGCCCAGAACAGGAAGGTGTTGGGCAGCTGCAGGTCTCAGAGCCACTTTCCCCGGACAAGCATTAACCTCAAGGGACTAAGACCAGAGAGGCCAGTAGAAACTGGACATGAAGGGCAGCCAGGCTGAGGGCCCAGCCTTCTCCTGTAGGGAAGGGGTGATGGGAAGGCATTAAGCATGGCGCACCTTCCATCTGACGGCTCACCCTCTCCAGGTGGCGGGCCCGGCAGCTGGTGAAGAATATTCCTCCTTCAGACATGGCCCAGATTAAGGCCAAGGTGGCTGCCATGGGGGCCCTACAGGGGCTGCGACAGGACTGGGGCTGTCGGCGGGCCTGGAACCGAGACTACTTGTCTTCTGTAAGTGCCAGGTGGACCCAGGGCTGCTGGGGGGATGTGGACACCCATGAGGGCTCCAGACTATCACTGTGCCCGGGCACAGAATTCCTCTCTCAGGTCTAGGGTGTAACTGTCCTTTTGACTCTCCCTCAGTCCTCACTCTTCTCCCTAAGGTTTCGTCCCTGAGGTTTGGGGGTTTTCATCTGGCCTCACCTGCCTGGGTTTTTTTTTTTTTTTTTTTTTTTGAGACAGAGCCTCAAGCTCTCCCCCTGGGTAGAGTGTCGTGGCATTACAGCTCACAGCAACCTCCAGCTCCTGGGCTCAAGCGAGTCTCTTGCCTCCGCCTCCCAAGTAGCCGGGACCACAGGTGCCCGCCACAACGCCCGGCTATTTTTTGGTTGTAGCCATCATTGTTGTTTGGCGGGTCCGGGCTGGGGATTCGAACCTGCCACCTTAGGTGTACATGGCTGGCGCCTTAGCTGGTTGAGCTATAGGCGCCGAGCCACCTGCCTGGGGTTTACTGGCCTGCCCTCCACCTCTCCACCCCACCTCGAATTCTCAGGTACAGCCTCCCCAACATGTTCCCAAGTACAACCTCCCCGCCATTTCTCGGGTATGGCTGCCCCACCATATTCTTGGGTACACCTTCACCCCATGTTCTCAGGTACAGCCACCCCTCTATGTTCTAGGGTATACTTGCCGTTCCATGTTCTTGGGTACGGCCACCCCCTGCCACCTTCCCAGGTATGCCACCCCCTGACATGTTCTCAGGTGCAACTGCCCACCCATGTTCTTAGGTATAGCTGTCCTCCTAAGTATTCTCAGGTCAGCTCCCCCACCAGCCATTCTCCAACTTTAGCAGTAAGCCTCTTATATCTGGTGGGGCCACCTGGTCCTGGCCTTCTGAAGAGGCTGTCTCCAGAGCTCCACAAAATCCAAGCATGGGTTTGAGGAGCAGCAGCCTTCAGGGATGTGTGCAGAGCACAAGGACGGTGGGCTCAGTCACAGCCTAAAATGTCAAAGTGGCAGGCTCTGGGCCCTTGGCCCTCATAGACCCAGCACTGGCAAACCAATGCACACACCTGTGACTTGGTTTCCTGAAGTGAAGGACAGCCATACTCATTCTCGGAGAGCTACCATCAATCCAGTCTGGTCCCAAGACTCCATCCCAAGCAGCCCCCACCCCTCCATCTATCCTCAGGCCACAGACAATCCTACAGCATCGAGTCTGTTTGCTCAGCAACTAAAGAAGCTTCGGGAGAAGGATGGCTTTGGGACTGTGCTCTTTTCCAGCCACGTCCGCAAGGTTAGAGGCTGGTAAAGGGGTACTTGTGGGCACAGGTGAGGGGGCCACTCAGGAGAGACTATAGGAAGCCCCAGCCCAGGAAGAACAGGGCAGGGGGGATGTGGAAGGGATGGCAGGGGCCTGTGGCAGCACTGACCTGGAATAAGCCCCTCTCCCACAGGTGAACCGCTTCCACAAGCGGCGGGACCGGGCCCTCCTGCTCACAGATCGGCACCTCTACAAGCTGGAGCCCAGCCGGCAATACCGGGTGATGCGGGCTGTGCCCCTCGACAGGGTGAGTGCCATGGGTAGGAGGCCACATGCACAGCATTTTCGAGGGATGCTACCAGGCTAAGGGAGCCCTGCCTTAGCCTCCTCCTGTCCTGTCTGCCTGTAAGGGTCTGGAGCATCCCAAAATTCAGCCCATGGCAGTACCCCTGCAGAGAACCCTGCGGTGGCTTCCCATTGCCCACAGGGTAAAGGCTCTGGCCCTTCATGCCCTGCTGCATAGCTACCTTGCACCACCACACTTTCACATCCCAGCCAAGGCAAAAACAGCCTCTCTCCCCACCTGTGTCTATCTTGGGAGGGTCTCCCATGTATTCAGTGCCTCCTGCAGGATCTCATCCTGCCTCTCTTCTGCCTGCTGCTGGCTCTTAAGCTCTTGTGTTCCCTTGCATGGCAGCTCTGTGTTCTCATAAATTCCCTTTCCTGCAGGACAGGGAGCAGCCTGGGGCAGGGATCCAGGCTGGATCCCCTCTGGGTCTCTCACAGTGTCAGGGATCCTGCGACTGCCAGAGTAGAAGGGGCCGTTAGTGTCTGATACAGCAGCTGAGAGCCAGTGTAGCTGTTTATATGTAATTAAAATAAGGTGACCAGATTTTAACATTGGTAAAGCGGGACACCATTGACAGGGGAGGGGGGGCGGGGTTCTTAATTAAAAATTTAAAAATTTGGTCTATATGGAGCAACAAAAATTTTCATAGAGTGCAAAAATAGTATTGTAATATATATTTTTTAAATTTCAACATAAGTACAATTTACAAATATAATACATTTAAAAAAATTATGTATAGGGTGGTGACTGTAGCTCAAAGGAGTAGGGCACTGGTCCACCTGGGTGGCCTTGCCCAGGAGGGGAGTAGGGAGTTTACATTAGCCTTTTCATTTTTTTTTTTGAGACAGAGCCTCAAGCTGTCCCCCTGGGTAGAGTGCTATGGCATTACAGCTCACAGCAACCTCCAACTCCTGGGCTCAAGCGAGTCTCCTGCCTCTACCTCCCAAGTAGCTGGGACCACAGGCGCCCGCCACAACGCCCGGCTATTTTTTTTGGTTGCAGCCATCATTGTTGTTTTGGCGGGTCCGGGCTGGGGATTCGAACCTGCCACCTTAGGTGTACGTGGCTGGCGCCTTAGCCGGTTGAGCTATAGGCGCGGAGCCGCCTTTTCATTTTCAAATGAAGTTACATTAACCTCTTCATTCCCAAATGGAGTTACATTAACCTTTTCAGAAGCCAAATACTGTATATTCTCTTCCTATTGTCCTGTGTTCTTTCCAAAAACCAGGACTTTTTAAAAATTCCGCGGGACTCGGGACAAATTGTTAAAAATCAGGACTGTCCTGCCAAAAGCTGGACGTCTGGTCACCTCAAATTAAGGTGAAATAAAACTAAAAACTCAGGCCAGGGACATTGGTTCACATCCATATCAGTAGTCCTAGCAATTTGGGAGGCCAAGGCAGGAGTTTCTCTTGAGGCCGGGAGTTCTAAGGCAGCCTGGGCAGTAGTAAGACCCCATCTCTACAAAACGTAAGTAAATTAAAAAATTAGTCAGGTGTAGTGGCCCACACCTGTAGTTACAGCTACTAGGGAGGCTGAGGCTTGAGCCCAGGAGTTAAAGGTGTCAGTGAGCTATGATGCCAGCACTGCACTCTAGCCTGGGCAACAGAGCAAGACCTGTCTCAGAACAAAAAAGTCACCTAAAAACTCAGTGACAGGTGTTCAGTGGTTACCCTGTTGGGCAGCAAGAATCTAGAATCATTCATCATGGCAGAAAGTCCTATTGTATGGCTCCCTGCTCAACCTTCCCCTTTGTCAGCAGGGACCAGAAAGAGAAGGGAGGGAGCGGAAGGACCCTGGGCTGTGCCCTTGTAGGGGATCCTGGGTAGGGCTCCCCTGTAGGGTTGGGGAGATAGGATCCCGGGGAAGGGGGCAAATCCAGCGCCCCTTGACCCCAGCTCCCTGTTCAGGTGACGGGGCTGAGTGTGACCAGCGGGCGGGACCAGCTGGTCGTGCTGCATGCCCGGGGCCAGGACGACCTGGTGGTGTGCCTACACCGCTCCCAGCCACCGCTGGACAACCGCATTGGGGAGCTGGTGGGCGTGCTGTCTGCGCACTGCCAAGGGTGAGTAGGGCTGGGCGCCGGTGGGCACGGGCTGTGGGCGTGGGAGAAAGCCAACACCGTCGTGACCCAGCCCCTGCTGCAGGGAGGGCCGCGCCCTGGAGGTCCGCGTCTCCGATTGCATCCCCCTCAGCCAGCGCGGGGCCCGGCGCCTGGTCTCGGTGGAGCCCAGGCCGGAGCAGCCAGAGCCTGACTTCTGCTGCGTCCGTGGCACCTTCACCCTCTTGTGGCCAAGCCACTGAGCCAGCCTCGCTCCAAGTCCTCGCACCTGGCTGGGCTGCCCAGAAGGCAGCGGCCTGGTCATCCGCTCTGAACGGGCACAATAAAGATGCTGAGTCTGCATAGCGTGTCAGGTTTCTGGGGTGGAAGAGCTCTGTCCCTCTCATCCCACGTGGAGTGGGCCTCTGGCTGCCTGGGGTCCGGCTCAGCCTGTGCTGCCCCTGCCTGGGCCATGGTCTCCTGCTCAACCCTATGGGGTTACCCTAACCAGAGGAGGAGGCCTGGGGCCCAGTCTGGGGTGAGGTGGCAAGACCTGATCCTCAGGCCCAAAGCCTAGGGAGCAGAAGCCATGGTTTGGGAGGAAGCTTTCTCCCCAGAAATCAGCGCTTTGTAATGCCTCATACTGCTGTGGTAAGCCTCACCCTCTCCAGCCCTCCTCCCAGGGCTGCTGTCTTAAGGTCAACTTCTTGCAGGCTCAGTGAGCAGGGACACAGAGCAGCCCTGAGGACTGTCACAGGGTGAGCTGCTGGGAGCTGGGGCCCAGGGCTGATGCTGTTCCTACTGCATGTAGGTATCTGGGAGCAACCAGAGACCTGCTGAACAGCCCAAACCTCCCAGCATCAAGGAATGCAGCAGGTCCCTAGGAAGATACTCAAAGGGAGGCCAGGGCAGACATATGCCTTACCCCTCAGGCTGCCTAAGCCCTTCCCCAAACCCCACTCCCCACCCTAGCCCCTCATTCCCTCTCCTCTTTCATCCAGTGGTGTTCCCTTTGCTCTCACAGCTCCCCTTTCCTTCTTATTATGGGGCACCCTAAATTCAGACGGCATCTCACTTAGTTTGCCACTTTGGTGTGGGGGGAGATTGGCATCTGCCACCGTGGCCCTTGTGTGACACTCAGGGCTCAGGGCTGTCCAGCATCTTCTACTAAGAAGCTTCTACTTACTGAGGCTTCCCTGTCAAATGGCCAGGCACATGCAGGTGCTGAACGTTGGGGTCACCTCCCACATGCAGGTCATGTCTGGTTGCTCCTGCCCTGGGGAGAGCAGCTGTCTCTAGGCTCAGCCTGGAAGCCTCCACAGAGCCAACTTTGTGCCTCTCCCTGGCAGGGGTGGCTACAGGAATGGGCTGGGCAGCTCTCTCACACAGCAGTGAGGGTCCCTTTCAATCGCAAAATCCTAAACAGCACTAATTGTTATGTGTGTCCCTGCTCTTTGTGCATCTGCTTGTCAGAAAGCCCCACATCACCACCAGCTTCCCATCTAAATCCTCCTCCTCCTTCACTGAAGCTGCACCACTACCAGACTGAGGGAAGCAGCTTAGTGAGCAAGTGACAACTTCAGGGAAACCCAGAGTGGGAGATACATCCAGGGTGGAGCCTGCCTGGGGCCACTCCCTACCCAGGCCTGGGCCTCAAGGGACAAAGGTCACAACTGCCAGGCTGTTCTTGGGGTTCTCAGGTCCAGCCCAAGGGGTGAGGGCAACTTGCTAGCCACCAGGAGGTGATAGAGGGTCTCCAAGCCTTCATCAGGCAATTCACATACATTATATATCACTTAGAACCCAGACGGTTCTATCCCCGACCTGTGCCTTTGAAGTTGTAGTTACCAGCAGCACCCCAATTACTGGAGAAAAAACAGATTCCATGACTCACCTGAGGCACTCACCTGAGACACAGGACTCACGTACCTGTGGCTCCAGGTGCAGGCACACTGTGTCACATTAATACAGTCGTTTTGCTGATGGGAGTGATGCCTGAGCATTGGCATGCAGGCATTGACTCCTGTTGGGCAAAGCCTGCAGCTCCTACCACTTGACCCAGCCCATCCTCATTTCCTATTAGCAGAAGGACTTTGGTAAAACCTTCCTCTCAAGATGCGCACAGAGGCTATCCTCATTCTGGGATGTGAGTAGAGGGATTCCATAGACAAGCTCGAGGGAAGTTGCCCTGACTGCCATGCCTGGGGCCCCAGCAGCCCTGGAAGCATGAATGGCCATCTCCATTTTGCAGACATGGAAACAGAACCCATGAAGGTTCTTTTTTCTTTTTAAAAATTTAATGCTAAATTTGTGTCATCTCAACAAATGCTTAGATTTCATTCTTTTAATTATCTTTTTTTTTTTTTTTTGCGGTTTTGGGCCAGGGCTGGGTTTAAACCCGCCACTTCCGGCATGTGGGGCCGCCGCCTTACTCCTTTGAGCCACAGGCACTGCCCTCTTTTAATTATCTTTACATATATTCCTGCCACTTCTTTATTGATGTATAATTCACACTCCATAAAATTCACCATTTTACTGAAAGTGTGCAATTCAGTAATTTTTGGTATATTCATAAGATTGTACAAGCCAACAGCACTTTCTAATTTTAGAAAGTTTCATCACCCTACAAAGGAACCCATACTCCTCAGCAGTCACTCTCTATTATCTACAACCACCCCCCAGGCTCGGGAGCTATCAAATCTACTTTTTGTCTCTATGGATATGCCTATTCTGGACATTTCATATAAATGGAACCATACAATAGATGGCCTCATCTGTCTGGACTCTTTCACTGAGCCTGATGTCTTCAAGGTTCAACCATATTGTGCCGTATATCAGTGCTTCACTCTTTTATATACAAAGAATATTTTGTTGTGTGGATATACCACTTTTTGTTTACCCACTCATCATATGATGGACATTTGGGTAAACAAATGTTGGCTATTATGAATAATGGCTCTAGGAACATTTGAATACAAATTTTTACATGGGAACACATTTTAATTTCTCTTGATATGTACGTAGGAATGGAATCTCTGGGTCAAATGCTAACTCTGTGCTTAACTTTCTGAGGAACCACCAGGTGTTTTTCCAAAATGGCTGCACTATTTTACATTCCCACCAGCAATGTATGTAGTTCCAACTTCTTCATGTCCTTGCCAACACTTGTTATTTTCTGGGGTTTTGGTGTTTATTTTTCCTTTTTTTTTTGAGACAGAGTCTCATTATGTTGTCCTTGGTAGAGTGCCATGGTGTCACAGCTCACAGCAACCTCAAATTCTGGGGCTTAAGTGATTCTTTTGCCTAAGCCTCCCAAGTAGCTAGGACAATAGGCACCCACCACAATGCCTGGCTTTTTTTTTTTTTTTGAGACAGAGTCTCACTTTATTGCCCCCAGTAGAGTGCTGTGGCATCACAGCTCACAGCCTCCAACTCCTGGGTTTAGGTGACTCTCTTGCCTCAGCCTCCTGAGTAGCTGGAACTACAGGCACCTGCCACAGTGCCTATCTCTGGCTATTTTTTTGTTGCAGTTGTTTTGGCTGTCCCAGGCAGGTTCAAACCTGCCACCCTTGGTGTATGTGGCTGGCGCCATAACCACTGTGCTACAGATGCTGAGCCTCCTTTTTTTTTAAATACCCATCCTAGAGGGTGTAAAATGGCATCTCGTTGCAGTTTTGAGGTGCATTTCCCTGATGACAAATGGTGTTGGACAACTTTTCACGAGCTCATTGGCCATTCATGTATCTTCTTTAGAAGAATGGTTGTTCAAACTTTTTGCCCATTTTTAAACTGGGCTGTCATTTTATTTGAGTTGTAAGAGTTCTTTATATATTCTGTATACTCTGCTAGTATTTTTTAAATGTTGACCTAAAAGGAAGAGGCTGAAGCACAAAATATGATTTAAGGCAAGTGTTCTCAAACTACGGCCCATGGGCCACGTGTGGCCTGCCGAGGACATTTATCCAGCCCGCCGGGTGTTTTTGCCGCTGCTGCCTGTCCTGCTTAGCAGCCAACTCGTCCTGGTGCCGCTAGTCCAGCCCTCCAATGGTCTGAGAGACTACTGGCCCCCTGTTTAAAAAGTTTGAGGACCCCTAATTTAAAAAGTTCACATGTGCCAAAGTGAGAAAAGTCACCTGGAAGACTCAGGCTCAGAGAACCTTAGGTATGCGTTCTGTTCAGCCTTTTTTACCACCAGGGTTGTTTTATGTTTGTTTGTTTGGTTGTTTTTTGTTATTATTGTTTTACTTTTTCTTTTGTTAAAAAAAAGTTAACTTTTTTTTTTGAGACTTCAACTGGGCTAGAGTGCCCTGGGGTCAGCCTAGCTCACAACAACCTCTATCTCCTGGGCTCAAGCTATTCTCCTGCCACAGCCTCCTCAGTAGCTAGGACTATAGGCACCTTTCTAATTTTTCTATTTTTTTAGTAGAGACAGAATGTCACTCTTGCTTAGGCTGGTCTCAAACTTTTGACCTTAAGAGATCCTCCTGCCTCACCCTCCCAGAGGGCTGGCTAGATTAAAGGTGTGAGCCACCGCACCTGGCCTAGTAACTTTTTATTTTTTGTTAAAAAATTTTTGGAAATATTTAGTGAATCTACTCAAATGGAGGAAATTTAAGTGATACAGAATTCTAAAAACATTAGAAATTAATGTAAAATAAAAAATGAATACAAATTAGCCAGCTCTATGGACATTTCCAGTTAAACATTTATACAAATACACGTTTGCCTTTTCTTTCCTTAGGGATAATATGTACACACATGACATGATTCTACCAGCAGGTTTTTAAAGGCAAAAATGGGGCATGGCATGGGCTGATACAAAGTTATTTGTCATAAATTCTCAACTCTTTGTAGAAATAACATTAGCCAGTGATTAGCTATACGTTAAGTTATAGGGTATCAGTTACAGTGTTGGGTGCAGCAGGATTAGGTTAATTTATAGCGGCCTGTAGTGACAGTGAGCAATTCCAAGGGATGAATACATAGCTCAAGGGGGAAGCAGGATGTGTTGCTGTCTTATTTTCATATCTCTTTGGCCCAATGATTTTAAAAGATTTTCATTCCTCAGCTAAAAGTTCTCTTCCCACAAGTAAAAAGGTAAGACTAGTTTTTATATCATATGTAGAGCAAAATCAGAGTCCCACTAACTATTGGAGACAGACTATCAAATGTTGTGTCTGAAGCACTAGGATAAGATCCACTTCTCAACACTAAGCCAACACTCTGAGCACAGGTAGAAGTCTAACCCTGTTGGCTTGTGAGCTAGTGGTGCTGCCAACCAGCCAGCTGGAAGGGAGGTTAACTTATGTGAGCACCATTTATTTCAGACAAGGTGTGTGACCTGAGACAATTTATGGGCCACA